AAAGATCTTCCACTCGACCTTCATCACTTTAAAATTTGCTACAGCTTGATAGTTTTTAGTAAATTTTATTACAGTATTATAAAATTTATTCTATTCTAAGCATTTTTGATGCCAACCTATATCATATCCTGAACTACTATTTTTATAGAGCTATTCATGCTTATTTTAGTAAAATTACTAATATTTTAACTTATACTAAAGATCTAATTATACTTTAACTTGTGCTAAAGAAATAAAAATTTTATATACATAATTGAAAATTACTATATATTACTAATTTATTATAATTTTTTAACTTAAATCCTTTTTTGTTTTTCATTATACTGTATATTAGGCCTTATATATAATTATTATATTCTTATTACATCATGTTACAATATATAATTATCTAAAAAAAACAATAAACTATATAATTTTTTATAAAAAGAAATTAAAATTTCTATTTTTATATAAAAAATATTTAAAAAAAGAAAGACTAACATATAAATTATTCAAAAAACTAAACTAAAAAAAGTATTTTTAGCTATTTGTTTTGTTTTTAAGTTTTTTATAACTTTTAACTAGAGTTTTTTTTTATTAATTTTAGAATATTCATTTGGTTTGAATATTAAACATAAAGAGGAGTATATTTAAAAAAAAGTTTAACCTTAATATAAATTACCAAAAGAGTCACTTACATCTCAGTTTTTTTATATATTTCTAATTTATTAGCAACAATTTGTTTTATATATTAATATAGAATTTAAGATGTTGTTTACTTAAAAACTTAATTCTTTAAACTGTTTTAGTACTAATTTGATTTAAGTAATTATTAAAAAGAGTTCAAACTGCTTTTATTACTTAGAACTTATTTTAAGCTTTATTTATATATTATATTATATTTAATAATTATTTTTTATTTTATTTTTTATTTTTTTATTTTTTTATTTTTTTATTTTTTTATTTTTTTATTTTTTTATTTTTTTATTTTTTTATTTTATTATTTTATTATTTTTTTATTTTTTTATTTTTTTATTTTTTTATTTTTTTATTTATTTATTTATTTATTTTTTTATTTTTTTTATTTTTTTTATTTTTTTTATTTTTTTTATTTTTTATTATATTTTTGTTTTTGAAAAATAATTTTTATTTAAGATATATAGATACAAAACCTCTAAAGGCTTTCTTATATAGAAGATTACAACTAATTATATATATAAAAGACTGAATCTTCATTAGATAGAAAGTTGGTTTTTTATCTTTATTAACATATTATTATTATTCAAGCTAAAATAATACCAAGTAATGCTAAAATTAGAGTACAATCAACGTCTGTTCAATGAAGAAAATATAAGATATTTTAAGAAAACATTAATTTAAACATTATGAATATGTGCAAAAAAGAAAAAATGTTAAGAAAACTATCAAAATAATCAAAATACATTGCTAAAAATAAGTAAGATTAAAAGTTACAATCATTAAATAAATTAGTTATTAATGTGTATTTGATAAATTTATTATATAATTTTTTATATATTTTATTATTGTATAAATAATAATGATAATAAAATTTATTTTGTAATTAAAAATTATAATCTTTTTTCATTCAAAAAATCTTCATTATTTGATAGTATACACCTTGTGCAGGATTTGAATTGTTGATCTGACATAATAAAAAAATCTATAGCTATAAAAAAATTTTTTGTTTATTTAAATGTGCTAATAATCAAAGAAAAAAAATTCAAATAAATATAAAGTAGTATGAAAACTATAAGCAAAATCCATAACAATAACAGTACAGCACAGCAGTAACGATGATAGAAGAAAAAATTTTTTGTTCATTATTGTATAGTAATGATGATAATGAATTTTATAAATAGACTTTTTTTGATTTGTAATCAAAATTGCCAATAATCAAACCCGAATCACATAATAACATGTCTGCCCAGCTACCATTTTTTGAGGGCGACGCTAGGGTTGTTATCTATTTGCGCCACAGCACGTGATAATATACCAATCAAATATAGAAATTTTGATCATCTCGACAAAGCAAAACAAAGCGAAAAAGTGTAACCCGCAAAAATATAGGAATCAGCAGTCTAAAACTATCATGGAGCATTAATTAAAAGTGCCGGAAAGGCAAAAAGCCATTTATCCTAACCTAACCTTAATATGGGTACACTAACCCTAATTCTTAAAAAATCGGCAATCACGTGTTGATGGGTGCTGTATGTACTGTACGCACTATACGTGAAAAAAATTCGGGTATCACATCACTAATTATTACTTTATACAATATAAATTATTGGCTAAAGCCACAAATTCACGAAAGGGATGGGCTGCACAGCCTACACAGCCTCGTTCCTCTAGGAGACTAGAAACTTGGTTCGTGGTTATATATATAAAATTTGCTGATCATATGGCCAGATCTAGAACAAAACAACTTTAGATGTGGTCAAATGATCAGCAATTATGACCAGAATTATGAAGAAGATCCACTGTGTTTATTTTTCGGGCTGATCCGGAACGATCGAATTTATATCATGCCAACTGGCCCCTAAAATTCGAAGTAGTGATGCGTCAATATATGCAGGGAGGGAGATTAATGTATTACCAAATATAACCAGGGTATACAAAGCATATAAAACGGAAGAACAGTACGTAGCAAATTCATACTCTCCCTTCCTCAGTAGAATCCTGCCATTTTTTTTTTTACAAATCCTTCAGATTGACAGCCTGCTTGCATTACATAGGTGGGAAACCACTGGCAAAGATTATGCATCGCTAATTTGACTGCAAAACTTCTTGCCAACAGCCGGTCCGCTTAATGCGGGTGGGAAACATCATTATCGGAATTAAATTATAATATCAATCAACTTTTTACATGTCAATTATATAGATTGCACTGATGTATGCTATATATTTCCTAAAGGCAATTTAATAAAATTTAATGTCCAAGGCTATTTTGTCACCAATTATTATATATCAAATGTGCGCAGTTTTTTTTTTTGATAAATTGAATGTTTCTAACTATATTTGGGCAATTTCAAGAATCGTCGATCCACTTTACACAATGTACTGTACGTACATTTCAAATGATTATCTGTTATGCTTACGTATGATTCACATCATTTGTATTAATTTGGCAATCTATAAAAAATAATCTGTATAAATAAACAAACCAGGTACGTAAACATAAATTTAATAACCAATCGTTCTTACACATTACGTTTAATAATGAAATGTGAAAAATGCCAAATTAATAAACTTTCAGAAGAATTTCCATTCGGTACAATTGGTTCTACATGTGAACACATCACATCTTGGTGTTTAAAGGTATAATATCAAGTAATTTGCATATATATGCTATTTCTATTACTTATATTTTTCGGGGGGTTTTTTTTGTTAGTGTCTTGTAAATCACCTAAGAGAAACGCAAAATCATCATCATTGTCCCATATGCGAAGCTGAACTGACAGAACAAGAAGTTAATGAATACTACTTGCTTTGGGACAATGCAAACTTTAAAATTGGTTTCGAAAATCTCTCACAAGAGTATACCGAACTTACTAAACAAAATAATACAAATTTTGGAAATAACTCTGGAATATTTTATGTTGTCCGATTAAATGGAGAAAAAATTGAATTAACTCTCTCTGAAATTAATACAGTTAGAAAGTTAAAATATAGATTAAAGGATTATACTAAGATAGATATTAATAGACAAATGTTAATTTATAAAAACACTGAACTCAATGTGAGTAGATTATTTACGCTTTTATTTTTTATTAAATCTTTTAGGATCATATTTAGTACGTGTAAGAGATATCTGTTCTATGTCAATTGATTAATAATCAATCTTATTAATGATGTCCTTATACTATATTTGATCCAAGCCTTTATAATTTTTGTATTAATTATCTACCCTTGTTATTATTCTATATAGGATGAAACTGATAATACGCTTACAAGTTATGGAATCTGTGCAAATAGCCATATTCAACTTATCATCGTACTTTATTCTATCTCGAAAAAGGAAACTCTAAAAAATTTAGTATTCGATTTACATTGGGGTTTCCCTCCCTTAGGAACAGATTTTCTTGACGGCTCTTGTTTGATATATGAAGGGGATAAATTATGGAAAAAATATGACATTTCAAATAAGTTTTATCCTGATGCATCATATATCAGGCATTCTGGAGATATTTTAGACAAAACAAATGGTTTGTTTTTAATATCATACTTCATTATGAATTACATTTTTACGTGTATTATTTGATAATTTTTTAAATCATCTTCATAGCTATAGGACATCAGAAAATTAAAGTGAAGCTTAATAAACTTCCTGCTAGTGTTACGCAACTTTATCTAATATTAAGCTCATACTCTTCTCCAACAATTGAATATTTTCAAAATCCAAGTTTTAAATTATATGATGAAGCGAGACCAAATGAACAATTATGCGAATATAATATACATGAGGCTGATAAGTCACGAGCGGTTATAATATGTCTTATCACTCGATCATATTATGGTGAGCTTTTAATGCTTTAATCTTAAAACTTTTATTTTAAGGTTTTATTTTTTATAGAATTTTTTTTTTTTTTTGATTATAGGCAAGTGGAAAGTAATTGAAGTAGGTAGATTATCACAAGGAAACATCGCGAACTATGTTCCAATAATGGAAAATATCAATGATCTTATTGACATTTAAGTTAAAAATGTGTTAAACTAGAAAACGGTGAGCTCACTTTTGGTCATTAAAATAATGCATCCTAAAGTTCATTTCTAGTCATATAATTTAAGTTGACTAGAGATCTGGTAGAATGCACAAACAGCTATTTTTTCAAACAATCTACATCTAGCCAAAACTGCCCTTTAAATCGTGCCAATCGCATATTATAAGGTTGTTGACGAAATTATTGTAAATGAATGGTTGTTGATGGTATTTAGAGAGATTTGAATGTATATATATTTGATTAATTTATCGAAACTTTAATAGATATTTTTATTTATTTATTTAAATGTTATAGTTGATTTTATGGAATTGACTCGACAAAAAAATCGATGTTTGATAGAAAAAAATTTTTTTTGATCGATCAAGAATAAATTATGTATGTTTATTCGAGTATGATAGAACATGCATATAATTTATTTGCTCAAATATACATAATTGATCAATCATTGGGTCAACCATTAATCGATTTTATAAAGATATTCTGTAAAATAAATTTTTTTTAGACATTTTCTTAATCCATCAAATTTTAAACATTTAATTGATTAACATAATTGATCATTGATTGACTCACTTTTGATCGAGTTTATAACATTGTGTTCGATTATCAAGCCTAATTGATCAATAATCGAAGCAATACACTAGTTGATATGATATTAAAGTACATGTACAGTACATGTGTTCATACTCGTGTGCGTACGTATAATGTGAGAAAAAGTGGTTGCACTTTATACTTATGAAAAAATATTGCATTACTTAATTGAAATAATTCAAAGTATTATCAGTTAAAATAACGTAATTAAAGCATCATAATATTTTTTTGTAAAGCATTATAGATTATCATAAAATTAGAAATAACGAATATTTTTTTTCGTACTAAAATGTCTAATTTTGGGAGTGGAAAAACTTATGTATTATTCTTTAGAATCACAGGTCGAAATCAACAATCTCACCAATATGTGTCAAATGTTTCTAAAAATTACCTTAATACGTATTTACTCATGTCATCCTAATATTGTCATATTATTATATTAATAGGCTAGTGAGATTTGGATTAATATGAGCAAAATTTCTTAAATCATTAATATATCATCTTATTAATCAATCTATTTCTATATTAATTTAGTCTAATATAGCACTTTTTGATTTTTGTTAACCTTGTTTTTTAATGCCTATGATAAAAATTTTGGCCTGTGTAATGTGACTTTATAAATCTTCTGATAGACATTGACATTTTACACAAAAATCCATTATTGGTATATAGTGAATGAATATCTGCAGTGTTTACGTATAATTTATAATTTAAGAATTAATTTGTATTAATTTAACAAAACAAAACATTCACTAATTCTTATAAATAGGCTAAGTACGTAACATAACCCTAATTTGCATCCAAGGTCAAAATATTTAATAATGAAATGTGAAAGCTGCCAAATTGATAAACTTTCAGAAGAATTTCCACATGGTACAATCAGTCCCAAATGCGAACATATCACATCTTGGTGTTTAAAGGTATAATATCTTCAATTATATGTATAAATACATTATTTGTATTACTTAAATTATTTTTTTTTATTAGTGTCTCGTAAGCTATCTAAAAGAAACGCAAAATCATCATCAGTGTCCCATATGCGAAGCTAAATTAACAGAACGAGAAGTTAAAGAATATTGCTTACTTTGGGACAATGCAACATTTAAAATTGATTTTAAAAGTCCATCAAAACCATATGTCAAATCTACTGAACAAAATAATACAAATCCCGAAAGTTTTTACGTTGTCCGATTAAATGGAGAGAAGATTGAATTAAATATCACTGAAATTAGTACAGTTAAAGAGTTAAAATATAGATTAATGAGTTATACTAAGATAGATATTGATAATCAAATGCTAATTTATAAAAAAATAGAACTTGATGTGCGTAATTATTTATCTTTTATTTTTTTTTTAATGTCTTTATAATTTTTTTATAATTTTTTTATCTTAATTGTATTACTTATTATTTTTCTATACAGCATGAAACTGATAATACACTCTCAAGCTATGGAATAGGCGCAAATAGTCATATTCAACTTAGCGTAATACAGTAAAACCTTCATAAGTGCACTCTCTATAAGTGTACTCTATTTAAATGCATACTCAAATTCGGACAAAATAATGCACTTTTTCTTATTGTTCTCTAAGTGCACGTTATTAAGATTTGGTCTCAAGAGTGTGCACTTATAGAGGTTTTACTATACTTTATTCTATCTCGAAAAAAGGTGCCTTAAAAATTTAGTATTCGATTTATATTTGGGTTGATGAAGTGATAAATTGTGGAAAAATAAGACATAAATAAGGTTTATTCTGATGGGTCATATATCTTGCACTCTGAAGACGTAGACAGGGAAAATGGCTTGTTCTAATATTACTGTATACTTCATTGTATATTACATTTTTATGTGGATTTTATAATTTTGAATTATCTTCACAGCTATAGGACATCAGAAAATTAAAGTGAAATTTAATCAACTTCCTATTGGCTTTATTTAATATTAAAACTCATATTATTCTTCGACAATTGAACATTTCCGGAATTCAACTTTATATTATATTGTGAAGGAGACTAGATGATTAGCTATGTGAATATAATGTACTTAAGGATGACAAGTCACAAACTGTTATAATGTGTCTATTGATCGGTCATAATTATGGTGAGCTTTTTAACGTTACGATTTTTTATTTTAATGTATTATTTTTTGAGAATATTTCTTTGTCAATTATAGGTAAATGGAAGGTGATTAAAGTAGGTAAATTATCACAAAGAAACACCAGAACTATGGGAAATAATAAATGTTTTATTGGCATTGAAGTTAAAAATGAGTGAGTTTGACTAGAAAAGGTGTGCTCACTTTTGGTCATTAAAATAACGCACTCAAAATCCATTTTCACTGATTATATAATTTAAGTCAACTAGGGATCTGGTATAATGAACAGCAACTATTTTCCAACAACCTACATTTAGTCAATACCCTAACCTAATTTTGTTTATGAAATAACTGTCAATAAATAGTTTTTGATGGTAATTAGATGTATATAATTGGATAAATTAATAGATATCATTATTTATAAATTATATATCTATTTAATTAAATATTTTAGTTGATATAGTATTAAACTATTTTAAATGTAGTTTAACCTATAGCAATCGTGACATTAAAATTAAAATTTTCATTTTTTTTTGCCACATGAGTTACATTTCCGTATTACTATAAATATTTGTACATGTGTACGTACGTACGAACAATACAGATATTGATATATTAAATCAAAGGTTATTTCTAAGTATATCTGGCCGGAGATGCCTAATGTTAATATTGTTCGGTCCTAAAAGCCAATTAAAATGTATCTTCTCAGTATCACTTCAAAATAGTACGGGCGTATTTGTAGCGTCCCAAAAAATCTTTCAAGCTCGTTTAAGTTAGGTTTAGCGTTTGTATTGATAGTAAAATTGCACAAGAAAAAAATTTTGTTAAGGCACCAAAGGTGGTTTCCTATGCTTATTTTTGAGTTACAACCGATCTTTGGTTAAACGAACGTTTGTTTTGAATTTTCCTGCTCGCTTACGTCATGCATCATTCTTATTGGCTAATTTTTGTAAATCATCTGATGATATTACAAAATCTGATTGGCTAATATAAAACGAGTTAGAAGTAAAAAAAAAAAATTTAGGTAAGATTTAAAATAAAGTTCATACTATCGCTATAAATTATAGAAATTTCACAGAATATCGTACTATCACCTATGCTGATATGTGCCAAATTTCTTATATCATTAATCTATCTTACAGTATTAACTAATTTAATCAGCATGGTTTTAGTTTAATAATTATTCCTATCAATATGCTAACAATTTACCATATGTGATTTTACATTAAAACTATAAATCTTCTGTCGGACACTTTACTCCGAATTTTATTGATGTTATGATTCACAATTTAAGATTTAATTTATATTAATTTAGCAATATAATGGAATTTAATAATTATAAATAAACAAGGTACGTACATAACATAACCTTAACTTGCATACAAAGTTAAAATATATCTTACATTTTTAATAATGAAATGTAAAAACTGCCAAATTAATAAGCTTTCAGAAGAATTTCCGCATAGTACGATTAGTCCCACATGTGAACATGTCACTTCTTGGTGTTTATAGGTACAATTTCTTTAATCATATGTAAAAAATATCATATGTAAAAAATATAAGATTTATGATTTATATTACTTATGGCTGTCATTTTGTTAGTGTGTTGTAAACTATCTAAGAGAAACACAACATCAGTGTCCCATATGCAATGCCAAATTAACAGATCAAGAATTTAATGAATATTGCTTACTTTGGGACAATGCAACCTTTAAACTTGTTTTCGAAAATCCCTCAAAAGAACACATCGAACTTTCTGAACAAAATAATACAAATTTTGGAAATAACTCTGGAATATTTTACGTTGTTCGACTAAATGGAGAAAAGTTTGAATTAAATCTCTCTGAAATTAATACAGTTAAAAAGCTAAAATATAGATTAATGAAATATACAAAGATAAATATTAAAAAACAAATGTTAATTTATGAAAACTTTGAACTCGAAGTAAAATTATTTACCATTTATTTCTTATTAAGGTCTTTATAATTTTTATCTTAATTATTTTACTTATTTTATTTATAGGAAGAAACTAATAATGCACTTGCAAGTTATGGAATCTGTGCAAATAGCCATATTCAACTTATCGTCATACTTTATTCTATCTCAAAAAATGATTCTTTAAGAAATTTAGTATTCGATTTATCTTGGGGTCACCCCATCATGGGAACAGACTATCTCGACGGCTCCTGTCTGATATATGAAGGTGATAAATTATGGAAAAAATATGACTTTGTAAATAAGGTTCATTCTGATATATCATATATTTCACATTCCGGAGATGTCATAGACAGGCCAAATGGTTTGTTCTAATATTACTATATACTCTATTGTATATCACATTTTTATATGGATCTTATAATTTTGAATTATTTTCACAGCTATAGGACATCAGAAAATTCAAGCAAATCTTAATCAACTTCCTCCTAGCGTTACACAGCTTTATCTAATATTAAGCTCATATCATTCTCCGACAATTGAAAATTTCCGAAATCCAAGCTTTAAATTATATGATGAATCGAAACCTGATAAGCAACTATGTGAAT